ATACGATGTAAATCTGTCATTCAGGCTCGCTGGAGAGAGACTGAACCTGTAGAGTTCTCCAAAAGGAAAAATGCAGAGTTACAAGAAATCATCTCAAATCATTACAGCTCTTTTATTTAGTTCCTGTGACAGCATGAGCAGCAACAGGTATATCACTGTTTACCTGTCACAAACCTCTAATATTCTCATTTTGCCTGTAAGGAGCAGTGATGAGGTTTTACCTCTAATTTTCCAGTCTAGAACTCTTTTCCTGGTGCTTCTTGTGTGGCAGGAATCCTTCAATGAAAATCCCTTTGCCCACGGTACGTTGGAATTTGTGTTTAAAAGATGGGCATCCCTATTTGAGTGCACAAACTCCAACTTGGGGACAGGGACAGGGGCAGGGGTGGCTGGAGCTGGGTCAGGGGAGGTTTAGGTTGGATTTTAGGGAAAGGTTCTTCCCTAAATATCCTGGGATATTCCCAGGATATGGGACTGGGACTGATGGCTGGGACTGATGATCCAACCCAGGATATTCCATAATTCCATGGGTTTCTGACTCCAGACTTGCACAGTCCCTTCAGCAGCCCCTGCACACCCTGGGTGCAGCTCTTCCTTTGTCTGCGAGGATAAAGAAAGGGAAATCCGAGTTTATTTTGAATTATTACATTTTATTGCTTTTCTGGCTGAGCAAACAGTGGCGCTCTCGCTGCTGGCTGGAAATCGAACCTTGCAGGATTTAGGTTGGGCTGGAAAGGGGAGCAGTGGGGTTTTAAGGGGATAATGTGTGTGTGTCCTTGTGTAATAACAGCAGCTCTTTGACACCTTCAGGAGGAGCAGGGCCAGGGTGGCCTGAGGAAGGTGGAGGTGTTTGCTGGGATCTCTGTGTGGGATATTTATGGGGTTTTGCTGCTTTTTCATTGGCCTCCTTTACTCTGCAGTTCCTTGAGGAGCTTCCTGGCACCAGGGGCTTTTGGAGATGCTCAGACTGGTTTATTCACATTTATCCAGGCTCTGTTTAACTGACCAGTGTTCATCCTGTCCCACCAAGTTGTCCCTTTCTTACCCTGGGCAAACTCTGCTTGTCTTGCCCTAGTGAGATTATAAACTGAATCCAGGGGAGCACTGGTTTCACCAGATAAAATCTTGTATTATTTTAACTTTTGACTGTTTTCATAGTTATGACCATTCCTCTCCAGCCCCATCCACGTGGCCTTGGGCATTCCAGGGGCAGCCACAGCTTCTCAGGGCAGCCTTGCCAGTGCTCAGGAAACAATCCACAGCCTCCTCCTTTGCTGGTGCTGCCTGGAGAGCCATCCCCGCTTTTTCAGAACCCAGGAAACAATTCATTGCCTCACTTCTTTGCTGGTGCTGGCTGGAAAGCCGATCCTGCATTTCCAGAGCCCAAGAAATAATTCACTGCCTCCTCTCTTTGCTGGTGCTGCCTGGAAAGCCATCCCTGCTTTTCCAGAGCCCAAGAAACCATTCACAGCCTCTGTGCTGGTGCTGGTTGGAGAGCCATCCCTGCATCCCTGCCTTTCCAGAGCCCAGGAAACCATTCACAGCCTCACCTCTCCTTGCTGCTGCTGGTTGAAAACCCATCCCTGCCTTCCCAGAGCCCAGTCCCAGCCCTGGGCATTAATGAGCCCCAGCGATGCGGCCCTGCCCAGCCAGCAATCAGCGCCCAGCTGGGAGGGCTTTGGCTCCAGCCACCAGGAGGTTGCTTTTTTTTATCGTTATTTTTGCCCTTTATGACTTTTTGGCTCCATTTCCATGATTAAACAGTTGGCAGAGCTTTGATTGCAGAGTGCTGCTCGCTGGAAGGGGCTCGTGGAGTGTCTGAAAGCTTTTCCAGGGAGAGGGAAAGGCTGAGCTGCACCTCCTGCTCCT